CCGCTCTTGGGACAGCTTCCCAACAGAAACAGGCAAAACATGAATCAAAATCTTTCCCAGTTCCTTCTACCTTGCAGTCTTCCCATTTTTTTCCCCTTTGTTTTTCAAAGTAGTTTTTATATCAAACCGTTTCTGAGTACATGTCAGTGTAATATATTTAGGAAATATGTACTGATCACTCATTAATGTTTGCACATCCATGCAGGGTATTGTGGGGAAATCAGAGTGAGCCTGCACCCAGTCGGCTGGGGGCATACTTTCTAAAACTCAAATGTCTAATTTGCAAAATAGAACCTGAGGGTGCCCTATTATGAGATGAATTTCTTTCAGGGGCTTTAGAGGATGGGAAGCTTATATGCCAAGGGTGTGGGAAAGGAGGATTAGAAAACCATTTGGAAGAAAGTAGCATTTTGAATTCTGGGTATGAATTCAAAAGAGCACACTGTCCGCGGAGGTCAGACTCATGAGAGAGAAGCCAAGAAGTTCATTGGAGGCAGAGAGCATGTGGTCAGAGAAAGGAACCTCATCCAGTTTGGCCAGAGCGGAAGGTATTTGTAAGGAAGTTGTGGGAGACTGATCTGAAAAGGAAGATGGGACCAAATTGTAAAGGATGTTGAATTTCAGAATGAAAAGTTTAGACTGAATTGAGAAGGTGGTAGGGATTCTTTGAAAGTTTTTGTGCAGGAGATGGATATGATCCAAGTTGTCCCTCAGGAAGGTTGATCTGAAAGTAGCACATAGACTGAACTGTCGGTGAGGAGACCCCAGAAGCAGGACATTTTGTTTACTTAGCTGAGAGATAATGGCGGTTCCTGACCTGGTGTTTGATGTGACTGGTGATGGAAGGAGAGATAGATAACAGATATGCCTAAATCTTGGACTACTTTTATGATGAATGCTCCTTGTTTGTTTGTTTGTTTGGCCAGTACATTTTCTATAATAGCCTGTGACATTCTTAAATGTGAGGCTCTTTGGGATCAAAAACTTCCTTATAAATGCCAGTTACTTGGTGAAATGGGACATGAATGTCCTAAGGAGTAAAATGACACCACATAGCTTAGTTCCCAGTATAAGATTATATCTGTCCTCAGGGAAATGAAATATGTATATTCACATCTTCTCCATATGGCCCCATGCTCTTGAATTGTTTGCTGTACTGGTGTCTATCCCTGGCCCATAGAATAGAATGCCAACAGAAACATAAATTTAAATTCTTCATAATCACGCTGGTAGGAATAGCCGAGAGAAAACAATCATGTCGGTGATCATGAAGTGTGTTCCCTGCCTAAGGCATCCTATTTGCATATTCATGTTTCCTTCCTTCTTACCAATCCCATCCCCCCACCTCTGTGGGTTGAGTGGATTTTATTTCCTTGCACAAAGGAATGTTAGACTGACACTAAACTGGAATGTTTTAGTGTCAGTCTGTTCTTACCTTGAAATGAATGAACCTCGGTAAGGGAAGATTCCAGATGGGAATGGTAACCCATATTTGTACTGTATCAACTCGTCTTATAGAGAAATCATTTCTATATTAATTCTTTTTTTCTTTTTACAGATTCAGATGTTAGGTATATGTGGGGTTTTGGTTTTGTTTTTTTAATTTTAAGTATGACTAAAAAAGAGATCTGAACCAGGAAAATTGTTTATCGGGAGATAAAAGATAAAAAGATGAGACTTATATCTAAGATTTTGTGTAGATAAATGGTTCTGAATACGAAGAAGAAGAATTAACTTTTTATAATGACTAGTAACAAAATGATTTCCCCGAAAAGTCTGGTTTTCAGCTCTGGCAGCTGCTGTCTGAAAGGCTTGCTGTATACTCTGCATTTGAGTGATGGGCAGAGTATAAAAATGTCTGGTGGGCCATGACAGAACCAGTGGGGCTTCCATCATGCAGTAAGGTGGGAGGACTGGGAATAAGGGGAGGGCATCCTGTGCCTCTGGCATAGGGATGGGGCACTATTCGCTGCCCTCAGCGTCTTGGCAGGGGAACCTGGCATCATCGCATCAAGAGATGGAGCTGACTCAAGTCTCTTCTGGCTGGTGTGAACTTGCCAGGATGTGATGAGACAGAAGGGGCGGAATTAGGGAAGAGAGTGGCGGAAGGGAAGCAGAGTTGTTGTGTTGATGCCTTTAGGCACCAGTTTCTCAGAAACAGGAAGATTTCTGAACCATAGACCAGGGAAGTGTCCTGTTTGTTTGTTCATGGAATATACCAAGCAGGGTCTACCCAGGAGACAGTTGGCAGAAACCAGCTAAAGGGGCCAGTTAGACTGAATTTCAGGTCCTCTTGCCTACCGGGGAACTATAGGCAGAGTCCAAAGTTGGACAGGAAGACTGAAAGGAACAGACCATGCCCAGTGGAGACTCAGCAGTGAAGGGCTTGCAGGACTGTGTTCACCCAGGTATTTTGGACACTAGGTGCATAGGCAGCAGCGCCTTTCCAGGTTCCCCTGTTAATGGAGCTAGAATTTCCAAAATGCTCCCAAATGGCTGACCCCCACTGCCTTGATACCCACGCGCAGCTGTACTGGGCAGTGTCCAGTCTATGAGGCTGGCTCTGGGAGCAGGCAGGTTTAGGCAGGACCGGCCGGGGCACAGCCACCTCTATATATTACCACTTTAAGAGCCGAAAACAGTTTCCTGGTTCTGAATCAATGCTCCTGTACACACCTGTGCGACTGGAAATCAGTATAGTTTTGAGAGACAGAATTTTTAATATGTGTTGAGAACCTTTAAAGTCATGATAGCTTTTGATCAATCATGTAATGACTGGAAGTCTAACTTAATTTTAGAAAATCATAAATACAGTAAAAAGTTTTTTTCTCAGAAGATATTTATTGTAGCATTTTACATTGATTTGAATTGTATTGAATTGAAAATAGTTTAAATGTCTACAACAAGGGAATAAGTAAACAAATTATGAAATACGTTTTTGATGAAGTGTTCTATAACCATTAATGATAACAGTGAAGAATCCATAATATATTATATAACATGGTATAAAACTGGAAAATCGGGATACAGAGTTGTATATACACTGTTCCCAAATTCCATTTGAGACATTGATGGAGATGTCATGGAAGAGATGACATGTGAGGGCAGCTCCATCAACACACACTAGGTACTTTTTATGCCTCTGGCTTACTGCTAAGCACTTTCATCTTTTTTCATATTTAATTATTAAGTCAGGGTAATTTTTAAATTTTTAAATCTTTCCTCAGAGAAGTTGTTTTCTAATACATCCCAGATTAAGGAATATCTGGAATTCACAGGCTGTTCCGGCCAACCTGGAGGCACACCCTCCCTCTGCTGCATCAAGCCCCTCTGCTGGCTTTGAAAATTAATGGAGTTTTGACTGATTAAGTTGAAGGGCAAGATTGACGTTCTGCAGAGCATATAACCTTCCAGAGTGAATGGAGCTCAACATGGTCTTATTTTGCATTTTATTTCCTTTATTCCTTAAATGAGAAATGTGAGTCAGCGTCCCCATAATATATGCCATATTACATACATAACACATAATACATACATAACATAGTAGCTATTTTGTTGAGAGCAAAGAAAATATGTCTAAGTGTAACGGGAGGGGGCCCTGTGAGGTAAGAGGGCCTTGTTTCTCAAAAAAAGAAAGACAACATACAGATTAAAGATACAGAATCCGGGGCTGTTATAATGAGTATGGGATATATACAGAAATATGAATGTAAGAGCTTTCAGTTAAAACTGTCAATGCATCCAAAATAGATTTTTAAAAGGGAGGAATCTTTTGAAGTATCCAGAGGGTATCAAGAACACAGATCTTTTCCTAAAGGTAAGGAAGCATTTGGAATCCTTTCATTTGTGTTGAGGGGATACCACCCCATCCCACAGGGACAGTCAAGACTGTATAGGTCACAGAGCAGAGTTCAACCCTGCCCTAGAGGTTGAACTCTGTGGCCTGGGAGAGTCTTGGCAGCTTTATCTTCTGTGATCATCTGGTGAAAGGATGTTGCCTCAGAGTGCCTTCTGCTTTCTTTTATTCCATAGCTGCAAAGCCCAGAGAAACCTGAATTCTTTCTTTGCTATTGTGATGGGTCTCAACACTGCTTCTGTCAGCCGGCTGTCCCAGACCTGGGAGGTGAGCCCTGGGGATCCCTACGGAGGGTGGAGTTGGGGACAAATAAAACTGAAATGGGAAGTGGTCCAGCTAACAGTCTTTATTTAAAATAAATGGTTTAAATGAGATGCGTAGCACTAGAAAAAAATGTTAAAAAACTAGTGTCTCAAGTCGTCAGGAGCTATTTTCATCAAATGGTCTTCAGAATGGTTCTGTAATATATATGAAAGAAACACAACTTGTAAAATGCTTCCCAGCTAGAATTAGTTTTCTGCTTTTCTCCTGTGATGGCATGGTTACAGTTCCATGTTGGTCATTTCAAAAGCTCACCTGTGTGTCCAGAAGCAGACTTGCAGAGATGCTAATGAATTTAAGCTACCAGTCTTCTCACTTGTGGGGCCTCTGGCAGTATGTTCATGTGGATGATGGATATCTTTACAAAATCTGCGAGAGTAATTTTGTATTCCTTTTTCCTAAAGAGGGCCCACAAAATGTTTTAAGTTTCAGGCCTCCCCAATCCTGGCTCTGCCTGTCAGGGCTGTATGATGAAGGCTGTTTGGGTTCGAAGTGGGAGAGGACCACTCAAGTTAGCGCACGTTCTGAAATGTGGCCTCTGAGGGTCTACGTGGGAAGAATGGAAACTGGGGTGTCCCTAAATGTAGCCAGACACGGATGTAGGGCCCTCTGCCACCCCCATGACCCCGGCACCTTCTTTCTTTGGGCTTTCGTTTCTTTCTCTCTCCATTCGCTACTGACTGTGTACCTAATTCCCCGTGTACCATTTCTCTCTCTCGTCCTTTCTCACCGTCAAGTCTTCTCCCTTACGGGTCCAGCCTGCTTGTGGCTCGCTGCGGCTCCCTCGGCCTCTCCCCACCCTCTCAGATTCAGCTATTCTTCCTGCCTGCCCTGCACTCTTCGTGGTCCCCAGTTCACACTCCTGCAGGAGAGAAGCTGACAGGCCAACTGTTGTTTTTTCTCACGTTCCATCTCGGCGACCGTCTGTGGGCAGCTTTGGGGTTCACCTTCTTTGCGTCAGGGGCCACACTCTGATGGAATGCGCAGTGGTGACCCGAGGGTCAGGGTCAGTGCTCCTTAAAGGGGTTCAAAAGAAAAGCAACGAAAGGCTTGCATCTCTGGTTAAGCAAACCAGATGCGCACACACTTCATGAGATTCAAGTAGGTGGGCAACAAAAGCCGCAGTTGATCAGAGCAGGAGGAAAACAAGTGGCTAGCAGGGGTCTGGGAAGGAGAGCGGAATTTTAAATTATACCCGGAAAGAAGGCTTGATCTGCGAACATTGACAGGAGAGCAATTCAGTGAAATTCGCATAGTGTGTATTTCACGTGCACAGTGACCGCCTGCCACCTGCGCAGCTCTGCGTCAATGCCGTGGCAGGTGGAACGTGGCCAGATTAGCACAGGGTGTGCTGTGGCCAACGAGGTCTTGAACTGGTTCCAGGCGGACCCCAGCAGAGCAATGGAGGAATCATGCTGCCTCAGGGTGGCTGAAAAGCCTTAAGCAGCAGGGCCTTGGAAGTTGAGTCGGGAGTTGCTGGGGACATTGGGGTCGGCCTCCCTCGCAGAGGTGAGCTCCATGTCTCTAGGCCTGGAAAGTGATCGCACTGTCCTAAATAGGCAGTATAGGAAAAGAAGTCGGTTTAAGGAACTAAGACAGAGGTCAACAAACATTTGGGGGAAAGAGCCAGACAGTGAATAATTTTAGGCTGTGCAGGCCATGTGGTCTCCACTGCTGTGACTCAACTCTGTCATTGAGGTGCAGGAGCAGCTATGGTTAGTTGATAAATGATGAGCATGGCAGTGCTCCAGTAAAACTTTATTTGCAAAAGCAGATGGTCAGATTTGGCCCATGGCTGACCGCTGGAGTAGATAAGTTTGGCTTTAGATATGTTGAGTTTGAGATGACACCGGGATATTCGTGTGGAATACCCAACAGACTAAGATACGCAGCTCAGAGGAACAGTTGCCATCAGTTGCAGATGTCTGTGTTTTACCTTTTCTCATTTGATTTGTCTTGCATTTATTAATACACGTGTATTGGTATGTGTAACAGTAGCTGCCAGATCAAACAACCTGTGTGCTGTCCAGATGCAAAATTATCAATTTGATAATTCTGAATAATTTAAAAGTCCATTGTGGGGTCTACCTCATTATTTTGATTTGTTTTAGAAACAGAAAATCTCACAAATCTCCTAGAACAGTCATAAGTGTTAACAGCTGGAGTTTGCTGAGCACCAACCACAGACTGTACACTTCCTATGAGTTATCTCCATTTCAATCAGACAATGTGGAGACTCACTGCAGACACACAGCTAGAAAGGGGCAGAATTCAAATTCAGAGTGACTTACTCTGAGGCATCTAGCTTTTCACTTCACCATGTTAAAGGCAGGCTGGGGTTTCCCTGGTGGCGCAGTGGTTGTATGCTAACACATATATATGGAATCTAAGAAAAAAAAAGGTCACGAAGAACCTAGGGATAAGACGGGAATAAAGACACAGACCTACTAGAGCATGGACTTGAGGATATGGGGAAGGGGGAGGGGTAGGCTGTGACGAGGTGAGAGAGAGGCATGAACATATATACACTACCAGATGTAAGGCAGATAGCTAGTGGGAAGCAGCCGCATAGCACAGGGAGATCAGCTCGGTGGTTTGTGACCACCTAGAGGGGTGGCATAGGGAGGGTGGGAGGGAGGGAGACGCAAGAGGGAAGAGATATGGGAACATATGTATATGTACAACTGATTCACTTTGTTATAAAGCAGAAACTAACACACCATTGTAAATCAATTATACTCCAATAAAGATGTTTAAGAAAAAAAACGAATCCTCCTGCCAATGCAGGAGACACGGGTTCGACCCCTGGTCCGGGAAGATCCCACACGCCGCGGAGCAGCTAAGCCCTTGCACCACAACTAATGAGCCTGCACTCTAGAGCCCATGAGCCACAACTACTCATCCTGCACTCTAGAGCCCATGCTCTGCAACAAGAGAAGCCACTGCAATGAGAAGCCCGCGCACCACAATGAAGAGTAGCCCCTGCTCGCCGCAACCAGAGGAAGCCTGCACGCAGCAATGAAGACCCAGCGCAGCCAAAAATGAATAAATAAATAAATTTATTAATAAATAAACAAATAAATAAAGGCTGGAAAATTCCAGGCCCTTCCTCCTTAGGCCCAAATTTTTATTGGGGAAGATGACCTACGTTTCCATCCTCTGTGAATCTTCATGCCACCAGTTGGTGTGGGTGATCTTTACAGTTCAGTGATTCTATCCATCAAAGTGCAGGCTTCATCATTTAGGGTTTTCATGGGCTTTCACTATTTAGCCCTCTGCTGTGAAACATAATTATGTCATTTATACAAAAAACATCAGCCAACATTATTATTTCCCACTCAGCAACACTGTTTAAGAAGGTGAGAGCAGGGCTTCCCTGGTGGAGCAGTGGTTAAGAATCCACCTGCCAATGCAGGGGACACGGGTTCGATACCGGGTCCGGGAAGACCCCACATGCCGTGGAGCACCTAAGCCCATGGGCCGCAACTACTGAGCCTGCGCTCTAGAGCCCACAAGCTACAACTGCTGAGCCCACATGCTGCAACTACTGAAGCCCACGTGCCTGGAGCCCGGGCTCCACAACAAGAGAAGCCACCGCCATGAGAAGCCCATGCACCGCAATGAAGAGTAGCCCCCGCTCTCCACAACTAGAGAAAACCTGCGTACAGCAACGGAGAACCAAAGCAGCCAAAAATAATAAGTTAAAAAATAAAACAAAAAAAGAGGTGAGAGCATTTGTCAGAGGTAAGGTACAGAACCAAAATCCAAGCTTTTATTAAAAGATCACCAGTGTGTGGGATGTTTAACCAGCTGATTCCCGATTCATGTGGCTGTTATTTATTTTAAACTGTCTTTAGCAACATTCCCAAGGAAGGTCGCATTAAGGAATGATGAAAACTGCATAATGAGAAGCAATCAGGGTAGAACCAGATGATAGAGCTGTTTATGTTCAGAAATGTGACATATGTAACACAACTTAATGAACATTCCCCTTAGTGCCTCTCAAAATAACTGACTTCTTTTGACCTTTTCTTTTTTGTTTGTTTGTTTTTAGAAAATCCCTGGGAAGTTTAAGAAACTTTTTTCTGAACTTGAAAGTTTAACAGTAAGTCGTTGAGCCAGAGTAGGCTTATTCTTCAAACTGATTGCTGGTGTCCAATTTCTTTCTAGATTTCAGTAGTCGGTATCTGCACTCTACCGTGTCAGGTAGCTTAGACTAGTTCACTTGTGTATGAAAATGTAGCTTTGCTTCTTACGGAGTGAAGCAAGTTAACACTTCTTTCTCTCCATGGAAAAAGGTAGTGAGAATGGTCCTCTTGGTATGATATTCAGAAGGCAGATTTTTAAGTATACTCAATTTTCAGTCTCTTTTCAGATCACAATAAAACTGTTCTCCTGTTTTCTCTGCATTATCTGTGCATTATGAGGGCAGTTTTTCTTTGCAGTGTGCTTAACGAAAGGCTGTGGGGTTACCTCGTGGTAGAAACTATGGAGAAGAAACTGTACTTAAGGAACCTGTTTGAGGGAAGAATAATAGGGCAATCAAAAGGTGTCTGTCCTTTGCAGTCATTTCCCATTATTGTCAACCAGTAACTTGACTTTCATTCATTGCCTAGATTTCCTGCCCTAATTTAGTGAGTTTATTCTCCTAGGAAACCTTTATCTACTTTGTTCTTAGGGAGAACCACTATATATCTAAATCATGTTCAAATGGTATAGTAAAAGTGGATTTAGAATTGTTTCTATAGCACATTGATTTTTCTTTCTCTTTGTAATCTTCTTGGTTTGGCAGGATCCTTCCCTGAATCACAAAGCCTACCGAGATGCATTCAAAAAGATGAAACCACCCAAAATCCCTTTCATGCCCTTATTGCTTAAAGGTAACCGGTTTTCTGTCTTTTATGCTATGTAATTCCATCTTCCAGAAATTTATCACTCTACAGGGGGCAAGAAAAGGAATCTCAGTTTATTTCTTTAAAGTAATTTTGACATTCAGACCTAACTGTGTTGGCTTGTGATTGTTTTTCAAATGTTCAATTATTTCTGAAATGCTTAAAATACTTAATTGTACTTAAGCAGGCATCAAAGTGTTTTCGATTGACTCACAAAACTTGGCACTGGAAACGTTTGTGTTTTTACTTTACTCTGCTTTAAGCATTGTCTTATTTGAGTCTACAATTCACTTAATTCAACCAAGAATAAGGCTGGCATAAAGAATCCAAACAGTGATCAGTCACGTTCTACGTTTGCAACTTAAATTTCAGAGATTCAACCCGTGGCCTGCTGCTGTGTGAGAAGTACCTTTGGTCAACCCAGGCAGTGTAGTGTATGAAGAATTTTGGTAGGGAATGTACTTTCATCTTTCCAGGAGTGAATCCAGTTGGGAAAGTATCTGACAGCTCCAAGTTAGTCGACCAACTTGTCTTCTGTAGAGAGCGCCAGCTCATTCATCATGAAACATGTTAGTTAAATTTACTAACGATCTCAGGGGTCTCTTTCAAACCCAGGGGATTAATAAAAGGGAAGTTCATTTTCATCTGGCCTATGCTCCTGACATTTAGTATATATCCTACCTATGTGCTTTCCAGGAAAAGCGGGTTGGTCATTTTTCTTGGCTGTATTTTCATTCTTTCCAAGGGATTATGGGAATACTCTTTTATATTGCCTTCACCCTTCAGAGGCTTGTAAATTCTGCTGGCTCAGTCCCCGGTGCCTACACCCATAAGTGTGATTCTGGAAGTGAACTACCTGGGAACTGGATTGCTGGTTGGCCTGGCCGTCTCCTCCCTCACCTCCCCCCATCGCCAGCCCCACTGGCAATAAAGCTGATGCTCCCTTTTCGGCTTCTCTCAAGAACAACCAGAGCTTGGAGAAGTTTTGAGTTGCTATGCATCCCTGCAGCTATTTATTCAGTCTTCATCTAGTATAAAGCAAGAATTTCTGGGAAACAATAATGTATTAGGACAATTGAGAGTCACACAGAATGCTTCATTCGAGCTCAAAAGATTCTGCGAAATGTAAATGGATGAAATAAGGAGAGACTGTAAAGCCAGAACACCAACTTAAAAGTTCATTTAATTTTTCATGTTTATTTCTAAGATAAGTTTCTTCAGACTTCTGATTTTTATTAAAAAAAAACACCAGCTGGAGAGCGGGGGTGGAGGCCTGTGGGAAGTGACACTTAGAATTATTTAGACACAAATAGGAAAACTAGGAAGCGAAGACAGATCTGGGAAAGGAATTGATTTTAGGAAGACAAAATTTTGAAACAGTGGATGTTTTTAAGGTAATGAGAAAAGTCGACAATGTCCCGTTAACTTAATTAGATACGAGCTGAGCTTTCTGCTATATATTAGTGGTTCTCCCCCCAAGGTGCTTAATGCAGTCAGGTGCCTCACACTTATGTCTTAGCTTGGATGCAATTTTCTGCTTTACTGAGTTTATCTAGACCTCTTTGTTGGCAGCAAAACAAATCTCCCTTTTTTCTTTTGTGTGTGTGTGTGTGTGTGTGTGTGTTTAAATTTTTTTTTAATAAATAGTTTTTCTCTATTTTTTCTGTATACAGCAGGTTCTTATTAGTCATCAGTTTTATACACATCAGTGTATACATGTCAATCCCAATCTCCCAATTCATCCCACCACCACCCCACCCCCCACCCCCGCCGCTTTCCTGCCTTGGTGTCCATACGTTTGTTCTCTACATCTGTGTTTCTATTTCTGCCCTGCAAACCAGTTCATCTGTACCATTTTTCTAGGTTCCACATATATGCGTTAATATACGATATTTGTTTTTCTCTTTCTGACTTACTTCTCTCTGTATAACAGTCTCTGGATCCATCCACGTCTCAACAAATGACCCAATTTCGTTCCTTTTTATGGCTGAGTAATATTCCATTGTATATATGTACCACACCTTCTTTATCCATTCGTCTGTCGATGGGCATTTAGGTTGCTTCCATGACCTGGCTATTGTAAGTAGTGCTGCCATGAACATTGTGGTACATGACTCTTTTTGAATTATGGTTTTCTCAGGGTATATGCCCAGTAGTGGGATTGCTGGGTCATATGCTAATTCTATTTTTAGTTTTTTAAGGACCCTCCATACTGTTCTCCATAGTGGCTGTATCAGTTTACATTCCCACCAACAGTGCAAGAGGGTTCCCTTTTCTCCACACCCTCTCCAGCATTTGTTGTTTGTAGATTTTCTGATGATGCCCATTCTAACTGGTGTGAGGTGATACCTCATTGTAGTTTTGATTTGCATTTCTCTAATAATTAGTGATGTTGAGCAGCTTTTCGAATTTCCCTTTTTTCTACTGAAAATACGTTCTCTCATTCCCGCTAGTAGATTAAACATTTTCTTTTTCATTAGAAGCTCGAGTTTGAAGAAGCACTTGTTTTTCCTTCATCTTAATTTTTTGTCATTATAAAACAACGTTAGTACTCTCTTGCATTTAAAGTTACTATTTTTGTCTGAAATAATTTCCAAAGGAAAACAGGATGAAACTTTTAAATATGTGTATATCACGTCTGAGGTAAGACATTTTGGAAAACATAAATGACATTCTTAGCTTTTGTTAAATGCAAAATTATTTTAAAATTTGCTGTAAACTAGAGCAACCAACATTTTCATGAAAACTTCCCAGCCCTCCCCTCTTGTGCCTCCTGCTTTGGATTGCTTTTGGTTAGAGAAAGAGACCAAATTGAACTCCTTGGGTGTTAAGAAGGATTAGGGCTCCCATGTTTCATTTTTTGAGAGAGTCAATTCCCAGTACCATGCAGATTATCAAGTGAGCAGGTAACCTGAAAATGCTTCCCGCCATCAGCTTTTCTACTTCCCAGTGAATTTCTTACCTCTGATTGACTTCCCTCCCCCCCCCACTGTGGAATCCAGTTCAGAAAGTAGTGAGTGAGAAACCCTAAGGAAGTGCTGGGGAAGGGACCCAGCTGAGCTAAAGGTCAAAAGCAGTTGAATAATCCGTGTCACGGCGTTTTGGGAGATGGTAGTCCTTCCAGTAGAGTGAATAATCAACCGGTGTCTGAAGGTAAACTGAGGTCGTGTTTGTATCTTGGGGCGCAGATTATTATTGCACGTTTGCAGGGGTGTTTAAATAAATGGAATGTTGAGGTGCTTGTTTGTTTTTTCCTTCTCTTTCATTTGCCATCTCTTCAAACGGAGTCCTTTCATCCCCCGTCCTGTTATATGAAGTCTTAGGAGCGTGTTCAGTTGTCTCCAGATAAAGGGGTCTGGCAGTTGCTCATTTCTAGCACTCTGAACCTGGTGGGTGCCCTGAATTGCTTCACAGCCCATGACTTAGATTCTGAGACCCCCGTTTTTGAGCTCAACCACCTGTATTGGTTTATCCCTCTCACGCCTGCCTCATCACACACCTGCCATTCACCTGCATCAAAACCTTCAGCCATTTGACCCCCTTCTCCTGGGCAGCAGCCCCTTCCAGCCCCTCTTGCCTCCCCACCTGGCCAGACACACCTTCCCTGCCTTATCCTCAGGCCAGCCTCAGCCTAACAGCCCCCCACCCTCAGTAGAGCCGCCGTCCTCATGCGCTGACCTCGACAAGTCCTTGAGAGTTGAGATTAAGCAAGATCACCCACGCAGAGGAGAGGGAGGAGATAGAAAGAGGGACAAAGGAAACACTTTAAAAGTTGCAGAGGCCCCAGTCTCCCATGAATTCAGCAAGGTGGCTGTAACAGGTGGTCAGAAATGTCCAAGTCCTTTCGGGTACCAGAGAGGCACCGTGGAGAGAGCAAGCAGGCTGCCTGGCCTTGGGTCCTGGCTCTGAGACTTAGAGCTGTGATCATGGGCCAGCTGTGCTTGTTCTTTGGCCCATCCTTTCTTCACGTTCTTTTCCTGCTAGGGCTTTTACCTTACAGTCTTTTGTGAGGATTAAATGAGTTAATGCTATGTCTGACGCTGGTAATAAATATAAGCTGCGTTATTATCATCATCTTTGGGAACATAGGGAGGGGATGACAAACCTTGGAACACTGGGGAAATGGACCAAGAAACTGACAGGGCATTTGTAATCCGAATTCTCCGCGAGTGGGGAGTTACTAGGCTCGTAGGTGGTGTTTAATGTAGATAGAGTACACACAGTGCTTTGCATGCTGTACAAACAAGGTACAAGCTAACTGTGTTGGCTACTCTTTTTCTAAATATTGTGTCAGAGGTTGAAAGCTTGCAATTCTATTCTGAAAGCAAAACAGTGAAAGAAAATAACCAGAGAGTTTGTCAGATGACTGTGTAATTGTGAATTGCTTCCCTGCTAAGACATCAGTTTTAAAAAAAAAAATCAAGGGGAGAAAACTTAGGAAAACGTTGCAGTCTGGTGGGGCTGGAAGCTGTGAATAAAGAATGCCATGAGAAAAGGGTCGTCATCAGCGTAGTCTGTAACTGTGTAACTGGTGTTGCCCCCTGGTGGGCAGTCAAAGCTCAGCGGCTGGGTGTGTTGCAGGCAGATTTCCCAAGCACCTATCTCGTAATTGCCCCATAGGGACCAGCAGAATCAAAGTCTTGATTAAATGCAAATGCTTTTCCTTTCTATTTAGAGGAATTTTAATCTGTTCATTTCCCTCTTTTATATCGTGTTATTTTAACAAGATTTTTGAAAATGGTGTTCATTTGGTTTGTCCTCCACGTCTGTGATATAACATGATTATTTGCATATTCTTTAAATTGTAGTATATTTCTTACTTTGATTCTCCGCTGTGAGGATTCCCTAATGCTCAGTCACTGACTCTCTGATTTGAGTTTTTATAAGCCATCCCCTTTCAGAGCTTCAGTTGCTGTTATTATTGTAACTAATCCTTGTTTCTTGAAGAGACACTCCAGTAAGTTTTGCAACCAAAATGAGATTTTTATTTGAATATCTTCTTTCACTTCAAATGCAGTGAGGCTCAAATCAAATTAACATTCCCGTCCTCTGAAAATGTATCTTCATCCTACTTTCCTTATGTTGTTTTCATCAGTGAATAGGCCCAGAAACCTTGCCTTTTCCAAACCTGTCCCATTCCTCATCCACTTCGGATACCCAGTCAGGCCCTGGCTTTGAAAACCAAAAATCTAAACATCCCAATCTAAACCTTAATGCTTTAAGTAAAGCAGATCCATATACTTTGCCAGGGATTGTTAAAAAGAAAACACATAAATATTAAAATCCTTTTTGTTTCTGGGGGTTCAGTTCTTTTCTGCTCAGTGTTCTGGCCTAAAAACATAATGGACCAGTTAAGTTATAGAATAGCGTTAGTGTATATTAAGCAGGTTGAAGTCAAAGCCTGCAATGTAAAAGCAAGATAATATACTTGCATGAGTGTTATAATGTTTTCTCTCCACATGCATACATTATACCCCCTCACATCAAATACTATGCAGATTCAATTTCAAGTTGCCTGGTCAAATGCATGAAATAATCCATAATGTTTAAGAAAAATTAATAAGCTGCATTGCATCTATACCTCTTCAACTCTGAGTCATGATCCGTTCCTAATGGTACATATATCTTTTTGTTTTTAATTTTCAGATGTAACATTCATTCATGAAGGAAATAAAACATTTTTGGATAATCTTGTCAATTTTGAAAAACTGGTATGTAAAACTTCACTATTTCTCCTTTTTCCCACTGTAAGGGAAGTGTATGCTTTTCTTGCACCAAGAAACAAATGGTTTAAGTGCTTTTCTCCTCTGAATGTGCGGTGATTTATTTGCTGCATGTTGTGCATTATCAATATAGTGCATTCCAATTAAAAATAAGTGTGCTGGCAAGTTCTGGGGCCAAATACAAAAATCTGCTTTTTATTTTTGAAAACGGAACTTCATTAGATTGACATCAGTGGTTGAGTGTATGTGTTTGAAGTAGAATGAAAACTGTAAGGTTCCCGTCAGCAGGAGTTCACAGTCTTGAGGTTCAGCCTTGTTGCTTTAAAGGCATCTCCCTGTGTCTTGGCTTACGCTGCTTCTGAGGCACGGGACAAAGCTCTCCTTCTGGGGAGATATGTCCATCTTGGATATGAAGATGGAATTTGTAGGGTCTGCATGGGCGGGGAAGGACCACCCCTCTATCAGCCTGTGGACAGATGGTGCCACTGTGGAGAGATCACCTCGTGCAAAGTGAGAAAGGGAGCTCATGAGAAAGGGGTCCCTGGCCAGTCCCTTCTTACAAGTCACTGAAATGCCTCTTTGAGAACTGTTGCCAGATCATTCCCAGGTGCTTTGTCATGCAGCGGGTTCCTACTAGCCTTTCTCACTCGCTGTGGGCACAGGAGGAATTGCCTGCAACTGTGAAATAGGAGTGCCCCAAAGAGACCCTGGGGACCACAAGAATAGATTTGTCTGACAGATGAACTTTAGTGTCATAGGTGAGCCTGCCATGCACGGTTAAAGATGGTATCAGGGACCCCTGTCCGTAGACCCTGACCTTTGAGTGACCTTTTCAGTAATGGTAATAGATTTGTATGAACTCTTTCAGGAATGGACCCCCGGTTCCCTGTGAGACTCGGTCAGGCATTTGAGGGAAGGTTGAGTGAGACGGGGGCCATAGACCATGACCAAAGAACAGTACCACCTGATGAGTCCAAACGAGGTTTGGCCTCTGACCTTTGCCTCAGAGGTGCCCTGCTCTAATTGTGAGGTTAACTCGCCACACACGGGATGAGGTGGTACAGAGCCAGTGCAGGAGGCTCTGGTACAACCTGAAAACCCAAGCAGCTGAATCTGGAAGACTGACGTCTTGGGATAGCTTGCCTTAGCTCAGTTTTAATGATTTGAGGGTGATCGCTTTCTGGCTCATTAGTTTTGCAGTAGACATGTCCATAACTTTTTGAGTCTCTCTCTGCACTAAGTGCTTTGGAATCCAGCTCAGTTATTTTAGATACTACAGTCAAACCAACACAGCCCGAAATAGATATTTAAAGTATTGGGTTTTCTTGTACTTACTCTTTAGAGATTTGTTCTGGTCTCACCCAGTAATGTTCTGAAGATCCCAGGGCCCCTCTTTGTAGCCAGAGACTGTAGGCCCGCCCTAACGTTCTAGTCTGTAGACAGGTTAATCTTCAGTGTTTGGTATTAATGAAATGATTGCAGGAATAAGAAGCCTCTGGTCAATACTTATTTCAAATCTTGGCCAGCACCTCTGCTTAAGAACGCCAAATAAGCCTTGGCGAGCATGTAAGAGATGTGGGACGAGCTGTGTCACACCAAGTGGAATTCCCTCTAAAGGTCTAGTACCCTTCCCTCTGACTAACCCAGAGGAAACATGCGAGAGCCAGTGTACTCTTTGTACGCTGACTGTGGTCAGTTGTTAAGGGTACAGTGGTGGTTGGCCCCCTTCCCAAAGAGAACCAGTGATTTGGTTAAGTTCATTGTGTCATTTCCCCCCAGATGGAGCTCCCCAAGTGAGAGAACAATTCAGTAAAGGCAAGCATGGGGAAGAGCGATGGAAAGCTTCCTACACCCTCTCTCTTTCCTTCTGACCGGCGTCTCTTTTTTTTTTTTCCCCTGCGTTCTCCAGTGGTCCAGTGGAAGCCTTTTAATGCTGACTCAGGTAGTCTAGGGTCTTGCTTTCATAGAGACAAGACTTCAAACTAACCGTGGGGACTGAAACAACGTCTTACTAACAGTACTGCTCTTAGGGTCAATAATTGTATATACCTTGAACCCTTTAATAAAGCTTAAGGAAATAACATGGCGTAAATAGGTAATCTTTTCTTTTAAATTCCTGAAGAGAACTCTTATTAAAAAGACAGCTAGAAGGTAAGTGCAGTTATACATGCATGCAGCAGGCCCACGGCACACAAGCGCACCCATCAGGTGCTTGCCATCACATCATTTCTAAAGAGAGCAGATTTTGTAGTCACTGGGTTCCTGGTTCTCAAAGCAGATGGCATTTAAGGTGCAGCATGCCTCATGCTGACCCCCGCTCCTTGCACAGAGAAGACAGGCTGAGGTCAGAATTTTGTCTAGACAAAACTGTATTTTACATTGTACATATAGCCCTATGTTGTACTTGGATGCTGGAGAGTGTAACTGAATTTCCTAGTAGAGTCAGTAGTTTCAGCACGTTTCTTAGCAAAAGACAAGGTTTCACTTAAGCTATTGATAAAATAGCATCATCTTTCACAGTAATGAACCAGTAGAACCTAACTGAATTAACCTGTGGGAAGCCAATTCCTCATGATGGATATTAGCCAGTGAGCAGATAATTCAGTGTATTATCTTTATCAGGCTGATCCAGGCCAACACATTAGGTCAGAGAACACGAAACCCAGAAGAGCTTTATTGGACCTAATAAGTTTTCCATTGTTCCCCACACTGCCTCAGCAGCTCCAAATGTTTCAGCCTCAGACCATTAAATAATGAAGAAACAAATGCTTTCTCCTTTTCTTCTCTTTATCACTCAGTGTTCAGAGCATCATCTTTTATCGTAGCTTCCTCCCCGCTCCCTTCAGAAAGCCTAAAGATGAGATCAGGGCTCTGGTTTCAGTGCTGCCCTGAGTGCCTCACCTTACATCAGCTGTGCAAATGGCACGTGATAGAAATCAAGGTGACGCCATACCTTAAAACAACGACAGATCTGTCCTGGGAATAGTGGTAAAATTGGGGGAAGGAAATTTAACAATACATTCTCAGACATGAGTCAGGTCTCATTTCCTTTACAAACGCAACTCGAGCTGTTGCTGTAATCACTGTCCTGTTTATTTTTCACTATTGAGTAGAAATACAATAGAAATGCATCCTGTGAGAACAATTTAATAAGTAGGTCATATTCAAATAATGTTTCTGGAGGTCTGCTGAATTTTAAGTAAATTTTGTTTTAGTATTAACATTATTATTTTAGCAATAATTTGTTGAGCGTTTGCTGCATATAGACGATCCTGTGTTCAATGTGTGTAGGCAGGACATGAAAAACAAGGGGCCAAGGTACAAACTACTATGTATAAAATAAATAATATACAAGGATATATTGTATAGCACAGTAATAGTAGCCAATATTTTATAATAACTTTAAATGGAGTATAATCTATAAATTTTGAATCACCTGAAACTAATGTTGTGCACCTGAAACTAATATTGTAAATCAACTGTACTTAAATTGTTGAAAAAAATATGATGGCCCATTTAGGAAGGTTTGAAGGACCAGATCGTGAATAATGTTGATTCTTGAATTACAGGGTTATGTTTGGATTTTGTATGAAACAGTATGGAGTCACTGTTGCCTTCCAGAGGACTAAGAACATGATGACAAGTGTTTGGAGATTATTCTGGCAACCGCGCAGGAGGAAGTGTAGTGGAGATTGGTCTGGTCCTAAATGCCGTGTTTCCTTTACCGTGGTAGAGAGAGCTAGAAGGCAGTTGCAGGTACACAAGTATGAGGCGAGGGGATCTTGTCCAAAGGAAGGAGCTGTGAGTTTAAGAAATCTTTGCCTGGAGATCAGTAAGAAGCGTAGAGAAATAAGGTAGAAAACTGAAGACTATAAAAGGGAATGTACATTATAAACAGAAAACGGTCTCTGTAAAGATATTGATGTTTTAGAAAATGTACCTGTTTCATAAATATCTCATCTCCTGTCACCATTTGAGTTACTTGAGTCTTTGATTCCACAAAACTTCCGGCCTCCATTCAGCAAGTATGCATGAGGCCACGTGTGTGCCGTACGGTTGGTGCTGGGTACACAAAGCCCTCTTGTGATACTTGCTCTAGAGGAGGAAGAAAGTTCCACAAAGTGATTACAGCAACCCAAACCCAATAAACACTGTACACAGAGCAGTGGGAAGGTTGAGAATGGGGCGAATTCACGAAGACTTCATGGGGAGAAGACGAAACACCTTTTGAAGTAAAAGCATATGCAAATGTGGACAGGTAGGTTGAGGGTGGACACGCTGCATTTTTTAAAATATATTTTTAAAAAATATTTCTTTTATTTTAACTGAGGTATGTATTGATGTACAATATTATAGGTTACAGGTGTACAGCGTTGTGATTCACAGTTTTTAAAGGTTATACCCCGGTTATAGTTATTATAAAATGCTGACCATATTCGCTGTGTTGTACTATCTTTGTAGCTTATTTATTTTATACATAATAATTTGTACCTCTTTATCCCCTATCCCTGTCTTGGCCTTCCCTCCTTCTTTCTCCCCACTGGTAACCATCCACTAGTTCTCTATATCTGTGGGTCGGTTTCATTTTGTTATATTCACTAGTTTGTTTTATTTTTTAGATTCCACATATAAGTGATATCATACAGTATTTGTCTTTCTCTGTCTGACTTATTTCACTTAACCTAATACCCTCCAATCCCATCCATGTTGTTGGAAATGGAAAAATTTCATTCTTTTTTATGGCTGAGTCGTATTCCATTGTACATATATGCCACATCTTTATCCATTCATCGGTTGATGGACACTTAGGCTGCTGCCATATCTTAGCAATTGTAAATAATGCTGCTGTGAACATTGGGGTGCATATGTCTTTTGGAATTAGGGTCTTCATTTTCTTTGGATATATACCCAGGAGTGGAATTGCTGGGTCATATGGTAGTTCTATTTTTAGTTTTTTGAGGAACCTCCATATTGTTTTCCATAGTGGCTGTATCAATTTTCATTCCTACCCACAGTGTAGGAGGGTTTCCCTTTCCTTCATGTCCTCACCAACATTTGTGGTCATTTTAATGTTAGCCATTCTGACAGGTGTGAGGTGATATATCATTGTGGTTTTGATTTGCATTTCTCTGATGATTAACAATATTGAGCATCTTTTCATATACCTGTCAGCCAAGTGTGTGTCATCTTTGGAAAAATGTCTGTTCAGGTCTTCTGTCCATTTTTTTTTTTTTTTTTTTTGTTTTTTTTTTTTTTTTTTTTTTTTTTTGCGGTACGCGGGCCTCTCACTGTTGTGGCCTCTCCCGTTGCAGAGCACAGGCTCCAGACACGCAGGCTCAGCGGCCATGGCTCATGGGCCCAGCGGCTCTGCGTCATGTGGTATCTTTCCCGGACCGGGGCACGAACCCGTGTCCCCTGCATCGGCAGGAGGACTCTCAACCACTGTGCCACCAGGGAAGCCCCTTCTGCCCATTTTTTAATCGAGTTGTTTTCTTGATGTTGAGTTGTATGAGCTCTTTATATATTTTGCATATTAACCCGTTATTGGTCATATCATTTACAGATATTTTCTCCCATTCAGTAGGTTGTCTTGTACTGCATTTCTTAACAGTATGTTTTCCCGTGGCTCAGTTAGAATCTGTGCAGCCGGGGTTGAGAGCCACTGTTTCTGAAGACAAGGTCAAATTTTCTTTTGTAATCCAAACTCAATATATATTATCAATTAAAGTTAGGTCCCGCACCAAATATAGCTCCTCTGTTTACACCCAAAGGTGTTAGACTATCCAACGAGCCTCACAGCACCACTAGTTCAGCAACACCCGAAATGACCCTTCTGCTGATGTGTTTCCTCTTCTGCCTTCCAGCATATGATTGCAGACACTGTCCGAACACTGAGACACTGCAGGACTAACCAGTTTGGTGAGTCATTGAAGTTGGGTATGGCATGTTAGTCTATCATACATTGGTACGGACTGTGGCCATATCACAAGTATTTGGTGGTAAAAAAAAAAAAAAAGATTGTAAAATATAATATGCACATCACATGCATATACTGTATTCTCTCTGTTTCATCACTGCATGTTTGGGAGGCAGAGTAGGACAAGAAATGGCAGCTTTTTATCCTCTCCTGGCATTAAGTTTACACTGTACAGAGTGATTTTGACGATCAGAAGCTCCCGCTGTACCCCTGACCCAGAAAGTCTTGTTTGCTTGCCCACTGGCTCAGAATTACCCGTGGGTTTATCAGGGGTGACCCTGTCCTTAACCTCCTTGCTTGGAGCCTTCCTGGAATAGGAATATAGTTTGTAAAAATGCCTAAAGCAGCCTTGCAGAATCTTTTCTCCTCTCCAATGAAAACTTCCTGTTTGGAGCTGCCTTTCACTGAAAGAGTATTTTTCTGAGCACTTTTGTTGACTCCCCACTGAGACTGATGTATGTAGGAATATTTATTCCTTTTTAAACCTCAAGAATAATTTACACTGTGTTTAAATGATGTTAAAACATTGCAGGAAGGAAGGAAATCAACTGTATTGAGTTCAAGGAGCTTTCACATGGGCGGTGGGATCCTGACCCTCGCGCTGGTGAATGGAGATTATAGACCCTGTGGGTGCAGAGCACAAAACGCAGGCTCGGAGAGGCTAAATTTCAGCCGTTACTCAGACCGAGTACCTGACTGCCTAGCCCATACCGTTTCCTTCGCCTTGTGCAGACTTTACAAGTATAAAGGGCAATTGAAAAAACAGAGAGTTCAGTAATTATAAATCAATCAAAAGTGACCACTAAGTAAAACTTACTTTGTTAAGCAATACATCCTCATTGTAAACCAGTTTTTTTCAACAATACACAAGTATCTTTAAAGTAGAGCAATCAAAGTCCCACTTCCTAAGGAAAATATTACTAACAATTTGGTACATATTCTTAAGAATTTTCATTCTGTTCATGCCCGTCTTGGGTAGTAATACTGTCCTCCAGCAAAGCAACTGAACTTCTGTGTGGATTACAAAGTTTCTGTTTGAAAGAGAGAATTATAAATACAGGACCTAATTTTCTAAGTGCTCACATCAAGGAATACCATTTGATACATGCTTATATAATTGTCCATTAACTACCCAAGTACAATGCAGTTTCAATAGAAATAGCAATAACATTGTCATGGAGATTCATTCAAATGTACAAGCATACTGTTGCTGATGAGTAAAGGATTTGTATCTCTTTCACCCTCCTTTGCTTCCCAAGTATTTATGGGTACTCAGCTAATTCTGAGACCTCAGTCTCACTTACCAAGGGATTCGGGTCTGTATACACCGCACGTGTGGGCAGGAAGGTTATACCAGTGGGGCTGGCCTTGACCTTGCCAGCCTCCCATCTCCAGAGAGTAAGTCTGCATAGCAAAAGGCAAAGGAGGAATTTAAATAACTATCAGGCCAGTTTGTGTTTTGTATTTATATATCTTTAAAAATCAAGTTTGGAACTGAATTATCTAAATTCAGTTTGACAGTTTATGTAGGCAGAGTTAAACAACGTCAGCCCTTGGGATAAAACAATGTTAATCAAGCCACTTAGAGATTACAGAGTGCCATGCAAGGGTCACTTGTCATGGTTGGAAGCATTCCGCCTGCCGTCTTTTTAAGGCTGGAAAGTTAACAAAACTATCTCGGTAGCATCATGTTTTCTAAACCAAACAAGGGGGAATGGTAAAACTTTAACTCCTGGTGCTTTTACTTGTTGAAACCAAGATGCCTTGCTTCTACGTAACCTAAGAACTACAAGCCGTCCATGACATACAAGCCCTAAATTATTTCCTCATAAAACGTATTTGTCACAGAGGAGGAAAAAATGCATTTTCACCAAGAGATAAAATTTCTGAATTAAAATGCTCAGCCTCCTGGGGGCCCCTTTTCTGCCCCAGCTGAACTCCAGCCTCACCCCTGGCTTCTCCCTCTGAAATCCCACAAAGCAAGAAGACACAGTTACATTGTCTCACTGGAGGGCGGCTTAGCCCATCTCCCCAGGCCTCAGTGCGTTTTTTGTTTGTTTATTTGTTTCTGACCATGGGAAGTGGGCCTGCCCCACTGTCCAGGCTACTTTATCTCTGGTTCCTTATCAGAGCTGTCAGCAGCATGGCACACAGGGGTTCACAGTGCACCAGAGCCTCTTGTGGCCCTTTTAACCGCCCTGCGTCTGGGAGTAGAAACTCCCTTGCTTTGTCCTTCGCTGCGTGGACGTTACCCCATCCACACACTTTCTGAAACCGCTTTGCCTGTAGACCAAACCTTTAGTCCACTTCTGTGATATCCGTTCATTTGATCGTTCCCTTAATTTTTTTTCCCCCAAAATAAGGACACCAAAAGATTTTCCTACCAAAATAAGGACATACAAAATCCAAAAAAAAAAAAGAACTAATGTATCCATGCAGTCACCAGGTTAGCAGTGATTTCTGACAGTTCCAGCCTGAGATAAAGAGCCTGTGAAAGCCATTTAATGGGGCAGTCACTGTGACAAGCTGCATGGTGTGGGAGCCGAGACCACGGACTTGGGGACCTCACGGCCTGGGTTCTGGTCCTTCTCTGCCGCTTACCTGCTAGGTCTGTGCTGTTTCACGTTCTGTAGAGGGAGATAATAACAATCACTAAATACTATATAATGTTAGGAGAAATGGCTCTATCAATGTTGGTAGAACAGACATCTTGCCAGTCTAATTACCTGACCTGAGGCATCTGGTCTGAGCTAAAAAAGCATCTCTGGGATTAGGATAAAGATCTCTCTTCTGGGACTCTGACCAATGCGAGTCTGCCTCCTGGATTCACTCTACGCCTTCAGGTGGGGTTTTACTGGTATTCAGAAACAGCATTACTGCTCTCATGAGATTGACTTTTTTTCCTTCCCCAAAATAGGAGGTGACGTATCTCCAAAAGAGCACCCAGAGTTAAAATCCTACGTTCATCACCTGTGCGTCATTGACAGCCAGCAGGCCCTGTTTGCGCTCTCGCACAGGATCGAGCCACGGGTGTGAGCCCCCCCACGCCTCGCCACCCTGGAACCGCAGCCCCGGGAGCTCCGGGGATGGCAGCGCCAAGCACGTTGCTTTCCTGAGAGAAAAGAAGTTGCTGAGTTTTATCAGCGTATCACAAGACATACACAGGAAAGCCAGCCAGAGCGTGCTCGCGAAGTGATGTCAGCTGCCAGAGATGCGGAGAGGCTGCTGTCGGAAGGAGAAGGCAGAAGGTTTCTGGAAATGGAGAAGTCTGGTTTCTTGGGATCACCTAAGAAGATTGTTGAACCAGTCCGGTTTTCACTTTGAGATGCGCCAGCGTCAAGACGAGAGACCGTCTCTTGTCATACGGTGACCAGATATCTCAGTAAGAGCATGTGTGAGCCTGGGAGGAGTTTTACTTTGCCTGGCAGCAGATGACTGTTTCTAGGCTGTCAAAGGAAGAGCTCATTTGAACACCTGAAGACAGTGATGGCATCTCTAGGTTTCCAGGGAGACGGACCGGTCTCTGTCTTTATGAGCTGTGACATCACCAAAAGCCACTTGTGTCTAGGGAGTTAGTGAGGACTGGCAGCTGGCATCCCTGCTCTGATCTCCAGAAGAGAAATGTCAAGGCATGCATTTCTTGGCATCCACAATCACTTAGCGATGTATGCTCGCAGGTGAAATGCGTTTCTGCGCAACTGACTCACAACTGTAGGCAAGTTAGACTAAGTTGCTTTGCCAACACGGAAGAACAGTCACCTTTAAGAAATCGACTCATTGAATTTCTGGGGATTTTCTTTCCACGTGCAAGCAGGCTCTCATCTTGGGTACAGTACGATTTTTGACAGAAGCGCAGTGCCTGACACATTGCAGGCACTCTTAACTGTTTCTGGGGGTGACGGTCACAAAGGCCCGCCTCCTTGTGCCTGGCGATGCCCTCGTGCGTTGCTTGCTTCCAGCAGCCTCCTGCCCATACTCCGGAATGAGAACGGCCCATACAGGGAGCTTAAGTGGGATCTGATGTGTGAAGCACTTAGCACTCCCTGGAGAAGAGCAAGGGGTTAAAACAGTGGTGATTTGCCCATCTTTCAGCAAATGAAAAGAACCCCAAATATCCAAATGTCTCATGTATGCTGGACACTTAGAAGTCCTATAGTCTGCCTCCCAACCAAGGCAGGGAGCCTTTCTATAATTTGCCTTTTTTGTCCCCAAAGTCTCAGAGTCTTTTAAGTCTTTTTATTCCCATTTTTACAGGTTGGGGCTCCTACAGTAAATCTGACCTCTTGCTGTTCTCAAGAACTGGTTAGAGGATTTCCCTCAACCTTCAAGTGAACAAAAAAGCCTGTGAGATACAGTAATGAAATCCACCCCTGCCAGCTAGATCCTTGTCACTTTGCTAAAATACAAGGGCCCTGCTTTGCCGGTTAGGTTCATTCATTTTGCACACATGTGATCCTGGTGCCCCTCTCACCCCTCCTGCCTGGTCCCCTCCTTGGCGCCTGTACAGAATCGCTTCTTCTTGTCTCATCAGCACTTCATTACTGAGATGTGTCCAATGTTTCTTACACCTTTATAGCAATGCTGTTTCCTGGGCTCGGGAGCCACACTGAGCTTGAGAGATCCCTATTAGCAGCCACATGGAGCAAATTTGGGGTAGGACTTTGAAAGAGAGTCTGTCCCAGCATGCCAGGCTTCAGTCCTGAACATTAACAGGGCTTTATAGAAAGACACCATCCGGGGCTAGTCCACTCAGAGAAATGGCCCCGGCTCCTGGGAATGGAATCAGACTCATTGAAGGAGATCAGACCCATCAGAACCAGGGAAAAGAGACTTTTCTCGTGGCTGATCAAACACTGGAAAAGCGCTCCCCTTGGCAATTACTGAGGACGGTGTGGGTTTACAGCACCAGTGTGTGTTCTGGTCTTTTCTCTGTGCTCGCGAGTAGCATTGGGCCATTCTAATCCTACGAGGCCATTTTGACATCGTCTCTTGTGTTTTACAGTTGAAATGGTTATTCACATTAGAGCTACGTTGCTCCAACTAAAACTATTGCAGTTGCTCCAAGGGAGAACTATCTTAGCACAGCACCTGCTGCTTGGACCTCAACTCAGACGTGGTGCATGGCCAAACGAATCCACACATACATCACACCTAAACAGATTTTGAGGGTGTAGTCAGAGAATCCCACGTGGTATGGGTGGAAACAGACTGGGGAGAGAACGGCGCTTGCCCACTGTTTCCTCCAGCCATGGTCTTGTGGCTCTTGGGGCAGCAAAAGGGAAGGAGGATTTTGTTCTGTTGAGATGTGCTTTTCCATCCCTGTCTTCTGAAAGTCAAAGTCTCTAAATCTTCCTGAAATGTAACAACTATCCGCAGAGGTTTCCCAGGCAGCAGCTCTCAGAAATTTCAGAAGCAATGAGAAGACGTGAATCTGGAATCAATGAATTCAAGGCAGAATCATGGGAACCAGATGTAGCTCAACATGACGCTGTTTCTAATGAGTCTGGAGCTGTCCAAGTGAACAGGCTGCAGGGGACTTAAGCAGCGTCCCTGTTAACAGGGATGGGTCATATTCCCTCTGCATATATCTGCCAAGGCCTCTTTGGAATAGGTTTTGTTCTGGCCAGAAGGGTGGCCAGTAGGACCTGTAAGCTCCTTTCTAACTCTTAGATTTTCACAATCGCACGAAATCTCCATTCACTCTGAAGAATCTCCTATCATCTGAGACCTTCACCAGCGACGGGTGCGTGGGCACTTCTAAGGGGGTTCTTTTTGTTATGGCACAATTTTCAGACAGTCCTATGGGTCTTTGGATTTGTCAGCATTCCAGCAAACCAGCCCTGCTTAGAAGTTAGCACAGGGCAAGTTCCTATCGGCAAAATCGCAACCACTCAAAAGAATTTTTTAAATTTTTCCATACATATTTGCAGATGCTCCAAAGACGACAGTGTTTTATAATAACCTCACTCTTTGTTATAATCTGTATAATTGCCAAATGGTTGTAGTGATACATATTATGGCCTGCGTTCACTTTATTCTAGTATCTCTTTAGAATAAATTCATTTTCCTAGACCCCTGTCCACAAGCAAGTTGGGTGGAGAATACCTTAAATTCAGAAGCATAGGGACAAGTAAAAACCCGTACCTCCCAGCTTGTAGGGAGATATTGCACTAATGCATACTCATCTCCAAGTAGGGAGACACAGTGGCATCAAAGAGAAGGTGCTGGTGACGTTTGATCCCTGGAGCTGGCTTTCACTGCTGCCCGGATCCTTGCCCAGTGGTTTTGTTGCAGCCATCACACACACCACAGATTCCACGTGTCCCTAGATGGCACAGCTAATCTGAGCTTCTCAGAAACTAGGCAAAAACATTAAAATGGGGAAGATCAGGTCCACTGTGGTGATCTAACATGGATAGCATTTCTTTTAAATGCTTCAAAGACATGTCCTTAAATTTTCAGCCTGCTTATTAACGAGTGAGCCATTGTGCTTAAAACTAGTGCTGGAAAAAAGTTTTTAAAAATTGCCAAAAAGTTAGATGAAAATGTACTATATAAAGCAAAGCTGTATATACTAAACATTTTTTAGCAGAGTAATATTTATTTGCATAGCCTATTTATTGTATTCGTATTACACTGTTATCAAATACTGGGATGAAATCGATGACCAAAAGCAAGGACTCTTGCCTTTTAATGTATCATTAATTAGGACCGCTGTGACATTATCAGCTTGCATTAACAGAAGATAGAAAACCCACAATCAGGGCGTCTACCTAACTTCTCAGGGACTACACTTCGTAGTTTTCCACCATTAGAAGAGCTGGTAAATATGAAACATTTGTGGAATTACCAGAATTGCCATTAACAGTGTTTTCTTTCTCATATTTCATGCTTTCTGCTTCTGTATATATGACTGTGCTGTGTATTTATCAAAGCTAGTAAGCAATAATTTATATGTAAAAATGGCCAAGCAATATAAGGTGAAAACTTATATAAGTCACTGTTACCTTATCTTGTATTTTCAAGTGTTTTTTTTAAAAAACTGCTTTTCCAAATATACGATTATGTTGAAGATATTATTCATGCCTCACAACTTCTTGCTTTGTGATGTTTGGGGGCTCTGTAGCCTGTGTTCCGGCAGCATATTATGCTCAGGTGTATGGAACTCAGAAATCATTTACTTGCTGACAGCGCTACAAGTAGGTGGAGAGATTCTCAGGCGACCCATGGAAGCCTAAATCACTTGTGCTGCCATTGAGTTATTGTAGAACCTAAAGACCCTGGAAGTCACATCATATTCTGGGATGTGGAGACTCCAACAGCCCCTGTCATTACCTCCCCCCACTCAAGTGGGACCACGTACTCTCCCTTCCTTACCAGCCCAGACACTGAGGCAAGCTCCAAGCCCTGGTGGTGATGCCCTAGGCCTGGAATAGCAGCAGGACAAAAGCTACGGGTGGGACGATGAAGCAAAGGGGTGGTAATGATGCTCTACTGGAATGGAAAGATGAGGGTCGTATACACTGGGGTAGACTTATCCTTCAGACTCTTCTCTCCCCCTCCCTCCGGAAGAATTATACATCCTGCCCATTGACGTCAAGCTTGGCCTTTGGCATGTGCTGATCCCTCCCCCTGCAAGAGGATTATGTCGTTCACCATGTTGAGCTGAGAACCGGCTAAATGTCTTCCTCTGTCCAGTGAAAAACGGGGAGAAGCAACCCGTGTGGCTTGGAGACCGAAGCTTTGAGGTAACCTGTGGCTGCCATGTCTCCTCTGCTAGGAGACCTGCAGTGTCCAAGTAAAGGTGTCTCCATCCACTGGACTCTCCAGCTTGTGAAGGATGTGTCACTTGAGTGAGAAATAAAGCATCATCATTAGAAGCCACTGCACTTGGGTGGCAGGGCGGGGGTAGGTGACTACCCGGGTGGAATTTCACCGAAGCTGACTAATACAGTCTCCAGGACACTGCTTTCTTGATAAACGGCCCTTTCCCTCAGTCCACGTCGGGCTGATAGTACTGACTTTGCACGTTACCT